ATCCGAAATCCTTGCTATCCACCTTGTATGATCTGTTCATTCTTATCTATAGATGTGCTTATTTCCTATCAATTATCTATCAATATTTGAAGTCTTTTTTTATTTGTTTTAGTCATGGTAATGATTCGCATCCGTACATAAAAATAGGTCTAAAGCTTGTATTATGCTCTAAACTTCTTCATTGGTAGTATTACCAACTGCGATTATTGTTCTAAGATATTTAATGTCTTCCATACTTTCGAAATTGAAATTGTTGACTTTAACGTTGTATCTAGATTTACTGACGGTCTCTTATGTTTATGCGCTGGTATTTGGTTTTCACTTCGTTGATTTTACTTGAAACTTTTTTCGTGCTCTCTGGACTTTGTTCAGTATGTCGTTTACATATTTACAGATGTAATCATCAGCATAACTAGGAGCTGCTTTGTACCTTGGGCCGTTAATGGATTACATCGTAAATCGGCGCTGTTTCTATTTTAATAAATTGTTCTTTAATTTTTTGACTATTTAAATCGAGAATCTGTATTTTATTCTACTGTTTATTAAGGCAGAGTTTCTTGGGGCCAATTTCTTTCTCAAGGTTTTTGTTTCCCGTATCAATATTACAACAATTTTGCTGGATGCCGACATAGGAAACCCGTTGGTATGTACATACTGTTTCGATATCTTTTTGTCCCGTTATAAAGTGAATATTAGTTTATTAGGAAATATGATATTGTCTAATAATAGTTAAGTTGTTTTGCTTTGCTTTCTCAGACTGCTACCGTCGTGCCTTCTGGTATTTGATATTTCAACCGTCAAGCAACAATTCCTATATGCATTAACTTAATGCTGATATCCTGCTTTCCCAATCCAGTTGGCAGTCCCGAAACCAATAAAATTGCTACATACAAGTTTTCTATTAAGCTGCCCAGAACTATAGGTACGCCTTATTATCTTACTGATGTTAGTGCTGCCCCTTATAAGTGAATAAAATATGAAAGGAAGGTTTTTGGTAATTTAATAAGATCCTTGTGTTACAATATAATGTCTCCGAGAAAGTAAAGTAATATCAAAACGCTATTCGGATTTAATCCATAGCTAAAATATTAGAATGCTATAAAATAATGCTATATATTAGCATTAATAAGTTTATAATGGATACTAAAGTTTGAAAATAATTAGAGCAAGTAATTTAAATTATCAAAGTGCTTATTAAACATAAAAATAAAATAAAATTATATTAACAATTTATATTATAATATATTTAAAAACAGTAGCCAAATATTCTTGGAATTCCTCGATGACTAAACCTGGTGGATATTTAAATAAATTTTAAGTTCTAAAATGTACCTGCTCTAAAATTTGAAAATCTACGACTAATACAACTACTGGCAACATCGCAGGAGCTTAGTTGTGTACGCTAAAAGCTGTATACGGATCCCAAAAATGTTTTATCCAGTTACGGAGTCCACATGATCAGACGTGTTGGTCGGAGTCCACATAAAGCGCTACTCAGATAATAATATACACGGCGTATATTCTCCTGGAGTTATTATAATACCGTTTTAGTACGGAGCCCACATTAACCGCTAGAAGTATATATATACATATATATATATATATATATATATATATATATATATATATATAATATATATATACATATATATATACATATATATATATATAATATATATATATATATATTATATATATATATATATATATATATATATATATATATATATCCCAACACATGTTTGAAAAATTCTGAATGTTTTCTGGCTTAAAACTGCGTTGGGACGGGATATTTCAGTAGACTATGTCATTTCTTATAACGTGACATCGAGTATCTACCTCCAGTATTAATATAGCTGCTCAGTATGAAGTTTATCGTAATGGGCAATAAATCTTGAATCGGATTATAAATCCTAACAGGTGTTTTTACTGGGAGATATTATCCCGACAGGTATAAACAACTTCCTTTTTTTAGCATGGATCGAAAGAAACAGAAACTAACCAAAGATGAAATTGATTACTAAGCTAATAAAATTGATGAAATCGAAAGTATAGACTATAGTAGTGATGATAGTATGGTAGGTAAGGACGTCATTTTGTCATAAGATGAACTAAGTGAGGCAAGTTCACTTGAAAGTGAAGTGAATATAGGTAATGAAACTGAGAACGCAATTCAAATTTCAGATCAGGAATCATATGACGATGATGAAAATATCAAAGATGCAGACAAGGTTATGCAACCTTTGCCGCCAACTAGTACAGAATTTTCCGCTGTTTGGACTGATGTCAATGCAGAAAATTTAATTCCGAGATATGATCTACCAGCCAGAACAGCCCCAGTTATAACAGATCAATTGAATCGAGCCAGTTCTGCATTAGACTGTTTTCTAGAAGTATTACAGTGTACAAACAGTAGGCTTGAAATTTTAGAACAGAAAAAGAAGAAAACTTTTGTCAAAACGTGCCAAAAAGAAATGATGCTACTTATTGCTGTTACGAATTATGCATTATAATATAGTTCCTTCTTTCGCAATGTACTGGTCTAATAATAAATCGCTTGGAAACAATTATATTCGTAGTGCAATATCAAGGGATAGATGCCAACTACTATTATCAAAATTGTATTTTGCCGAACCCAATAAACCTGCCACAGCAAATAAAACTTATTATATTGATGGTGTTATTTCCTGCTTGAAGACAAGTTTTATGAGAGCTAGAAGTGATTCTATCTATCAAGCAATTGATAAGTCTATGACAAATTTCAAAGGGCGATCTACATTGAAACAGTATATGCCCCTCAAACGCATAAAACGTGGTATAAAGTTATGGACAAGATGCGATTCGGAAACTGGCCATATTTACGATATAAATGTGTATGCAGACAAAAATGATAATAAGATGGGTACTTTAGGAGAACGTGTCATAAATCAGTTATCTTCAACAATTTCTAATGAAAATGTTCTAATTTACTTCGATAGATTTTTTACAACAGTTCCTCTTATGGATACCACTATGTTTTCTGCTGTCGGTACATGCATGAGTAGCCGCAAAAATTTACCCAAATTTTATGGCAAGCTAAATCGAGGAGAATCGCAAGTAAAAGGTAATGAAACTGGAACATTAGCTATACGATGACAGGAAAGAAAAGATTTTATCGTACTAATTAACTGCCATAAACCAGAAGAAACAACTGTGTGTAGAAAACTGAAAGATGGTAGAAAAGCCAACATTTGTTGTCATGTATCGATTGAATTCTATAACCGTTACATGGGAGGTGTAGATAGATGTGATCAAATGACATCTGACGTACCAAATTTATTTGTAAAATGTGTCATGTTCCGTTATGTAGCGATTGTTTTACCCATATCATGCATTAACATTTATCGTTCATGTATACTGTTGGGATATATAATCCCATGCATTAAAAAAAATAATAATAATAATAAAATTTTTTAAATACATTCTTAGTTCTTTTAAATGCTCTCGAACAACAAACTGCAGACAAATATATCAAATTTTATAATAAACAAATCAGGAGTGAAAGGGTTAAATGAAATTTAGTAGATTTAACTCCCGCTACTCAGATGCCACCAAAATGAGGAGCATGAAAAGGTATGAAATGCCACTTTATTTATAAGTGAGGTGTCGTTTTATTTCCTTGTTCCAATTTGGCTTTATAACTCAGCTATTTGTCCTTCTAAATTAGATTTTTAATCGTTTTGTTCTTTTAAATTTTTCTGTTATTTTATTTTATTTCTAAATCGGTTTTTTTGTTGTTCTATGGTTCTTCTCATTTGCCTGTTCTATTATTAATTTGACTTATATCCAACTTAAAATTTTCGTCAATTTGAAATAAAGCATTTATGATTTCTACCTCTACTTTTCTACGCCTCTCTTCCTCTTCTTGTCAACGCTTCTGCTTCAGCTCTTCCCTACGCTTCTGCTTTTTGTCTTCATCTTCTTGTCTACGCTTCTCTTTTTTCTTTTTCTCTTCTTTGTAACGTTATAAACGTCACATCTCTATTAATTTATATTTAAATAATTATTTCATTTTTAATTTCTTTATTAATTTATTAATTTCTTTATCTTTAGTTTAATTTTTACTATTTTTTATTTAAACAGTAGTTGGCCCCCTCTGTTCGTCTCTTTCTTCCTCTGTCTTTATTTACTCTCTCTTTCTGTCCCGTAGAATAAATATTCGACCTCTCTCTTTCTGATTTGTGTTGATAGACAAGCTAGTTTCATGGAATAGCAACATCCTATGACATCTCTCCTGTGCTAACTTCATTTAGTCTCCCACTTTCTGTCAAAACATCTTTTCTAACGTGGTGGGATTATTTTTTGCCTCTTTTTGATTTTTATAAAAGAAGGCAAAAATTATTATTACTCATTTTATGGTCTACAAATTCTCTTGGGTTTTATTGGGAACTAGGCAAGGTATAGACTATAAGCTCCCATGGTTGGTTGAGGTATTATTTTTACAATAGTACTTCAATTCACTTTGGTAGTCTTATCGTTACACTTATCTTCTCCTTCACCTCTTCCTCTTCTTGCGTACACTTCTCCTTTTCCATTTCTTTATCAAGTTCAGTAGATCATGTATTATCCATTAACAATTACTTTAATATATCTTTTATCCTACCGATGTCACTAATGTTCTTAATAATTCTTTACAATTACGTTTATTTAAAACAGCAAACAATATTACAATATTTGATTACAACTTAAACAAAAAGAAAGAACTAGTCAAAAATTAAATTACTACTGTACTGTGCTAGTGTACTGTACTGTACTACTGTGAACTGTCAACTTTCCGTTTATATACATTTTCTGTCATTCCAGACTTTACGAGACATTTCGGAATGTTTCGATGACAATCTAGAACATTCTAGATTTTTAATACTTCGTATTTTTCGTCAAGATGCTTTTTCTATATGGAATAAATCTTACGGAATTGTGTAAAAATATGTTTATGTTATTTAACTTTTTATAATACTCACCATAATATTCTTTCTGATATTCAAGTAAACGCTAGCGGTTTCGTAAAATTTAACTAAAGGCCGCAAGTAGGTACTAATTTGTTGTCTACATAGCTCCTTTAATTCTTCTTCGACCTTTTCTAGTTTTTTCCTTATTTCAATCATATTCTTCTGATGATCTGCTTCTCGAAAACTTCTTGACATCATACCTTCTACGCTTATACTCTCTACACGTAGCAAACTTAAAACCTAAAATAAAAAAGTAACAAAATAGGAAACTTGGTATAAGAAAATTGGTATTTATATCCTAACATTGAGATATTTATACAGGGTTTAAGAAAAGAAGCGAGATGGTCGAATATTATATATATATATATATATATATATATATATATATATATATATATAATATATATATATATATAATATATATATATATATATATATATATATATATATATATATATATTATTTATATATATATATATATTGGGATTTATTCAGCGGTGAAATAAGTGTACTCTTTTAACTAAGTTTCAAGCTTTCGAAAATGTTTATTTTCATCATCAGGAAAAACTGAAAATAAAGTGCGACTGTTAGTAAATCATCCTCGAAATTAGTTGTAGAAGATGGTTTTTTTAAATAAAAAACGATAAAAACTTACGTTATTGAGGTTCGTCTTTCGTGGATGTTTCACTTACAGGTGACAATATTACGCACCACTCATTGATTGAGTCAAATTTTAAAATATTAAACACATATAAAACTTCATGGTGTATAAGACCACACTTAATAAATTATTATACTTTTAAGTATATATAAAAGTATAATAATTTATTAAGTGTGGTCTTATACACCATGAAAGTTTTATATGTGTTTAATATTTTAAAATTTGACTCAATCAATGAGTGGTGCGTAATATTGTCACCTGTAAGTGAAACATCCACGAAAGACGAACCTCAATAACGTAAGTTTTTTATCGTTTTTTATTTAAAAAAACCATCTTCTACAACTAATTTCGAGGATGATTTACTAACAGTCGCACTTTATTTTCAGTTTTTCCTGATGATGAAAATAAACATTTTCGAAAGCTTGAAACTTAGTTAAAAGAGTACACTTATTTCACCGCTGAATAAATCCCAATAAACCTCAAAGCTCCGTTTTCTAACGTTGTCAGCAAAGACTTCTTTTCGTATATATATATATATATTTATATATATATATATATATATATATATATAATAAAAAAAATAACTACAAACCATTAAGTTTATTTTTGTTATTAGTCTGTTGTAGTAGATTGGTAAATACAATGAAAAATATAGGCAAAAATCCGATTTATTTAAAGATACGAAGAAGATATAACTATCAAAAAGATCAGCAAATCGGATTATTACACGGCGATTGGCAACATTGTTATGCAAACAACATTGTTGCGAAACAGATAGTTGAACGATATTTTATACAATGTCTAAACCCAGGTATAGATTTATTTTTGTCCAAGTTTTATATTGGTGCACTATTTCAAATGCAGTTCAAACATACATTGAATTGTATGATCCGTTTTAAATAAATCTGTATATACATATATAATATATATATATATATATATATATATAATATATATATATAATATATATATATATATATATATATATATATAAACTCCTTGCAAATTTAATAAATCTATCAGTAGAACAGGGTGTTTTTCCACATAGCTTGAAGGTAGGAGTTGTAACTCCAATATTCAAGAGTGGATATAATTCAGTTTTAGATAATTACAGGCCAGTTACAGTCTCTACTATTTTGGGCAAAATTTATGAAAAATGTGTATACAAAAGAATGTATAGTTTCCTTTTTATGTTCCAACCAACACGAATTTCTACATGGAAGATCAACAGAGAGTGCTACCAATGAATTGCTTAGTTTCATTCACATAGCACTGGATCGGGGAGATTTTGTGGGGGCACATTTCTTTGATCTCTCAAAAACGTAAGAGTTGTATAGAGAAGTTAAAAAATCTTGGTTTAAGGGGTCAGTTCTCATTATGGTTGTCATCTTATTTATATTCTAGGAAGATCCTCGTTAATCTTAATGACACACGATCAGATCATGGTGATATTGATATTGAGGTTCGTCAGGGTTCAATATTGGGGCCATTATTATTCCTATGCTATATTACTGATATGCCGAGATATGTCAGTTCAAATAACATATTTATGTATGCAGATGACACAACTATTGCTACATCTGCTTCAAGTGCCGAGGAATTAACTGTTCAACTGAATGTTATATCAGAAGATTTTACAGAGTGGCGTAAAAAAATGCTTGGATTGTTAATGCTAAAAAACCATAAGCATGCAATTCTACTATAGATCAAATTCAAGTTAAAAGTTTTCTATAAAAGTAAATGATAGCCTGGTTCATTCTACAACTTCCACCAAACTTTTAGGTTTGTATCTTGATAGTAACTTGAACTGGCAGTCTCAAATTAATCATGTTTGCAAAATAATAAATAGTAGTTATTACGCAATATTGCAATTTAAAAGGTTTTCTTAAAAAGGAACAGTTATTGAATGTTTATTGTGCAATTGTTTATTCTCACTTGGCCTTCAATATAAATCTTTGGGGTAGTGCTATAAATGCTGCAAGAGTGTTTCTGTCTCAGAAAAGGATAATTCGGTTAATTTTTAATTGACCATATAGGCATTCATGTCGATAATATTTTAAAAAATATAACATTTTAACAGTACCTTCTATATATATTTTTAAATGTATACTACATATAAAAGAAAATATAACTACTTTTCATTTAAACTCTGATTATCACCAGTACTCAATTAGGCAAAATGACTTCATCAGAATACCAAAACATAATACAGCACGATTTGAAAAATCCCAGTATTATATAGGTATAAGACTTTTCAATCATCTTCCCAACAGTATTAAATCTGAAACGAATTTAAATAAATTTCGAGGTAAATTAAAATCTTTTCTATTGCTAAATTGTTTCTAGAGTGTAAGTGAATATCTGGGTAATGTAAATAATTAATCCTATGTACTTTTTATCTTTCAATTCTGAAATTGTGATGTTTTATAAGTATGTATTTATATTTTTTATTCGACTTATCCTATATCATGTAAATGATAAACCGCATTCACTACCATAAAAATTTGTTTGCAGACTTCTTCTAATTTGTTTTTCTGCAATTACAGCGCAAGATTACAAGATATATAAAAAATTAAATCGAGATGTAAAAAGAGAAGTAGTGAAAAGTAAAAATGAGATGTGGGATCGAAGATGTGCAGAGGTGGATAGGTATATGGGTAGAACAAGCGTTGGGCAAGCGTGGAAGATGATAAAGTCTCTCCTGAGGAAAGGAAAGTAAAAATCTAACTTACAGTTAATAGATCTGAAACAGTGGAAACACCAATATGAGGTCTTACTGACAGAGGATAGACGTAAATTCCAAGAGTTCAAAATGGAAGAAATATCCGAACATACAAAAACAATTATTGAGATAACAACCGGATAGTTAAGCGATGTCCTCAAAAGATCGAAAAACGGTAAAGCAGCAGGACCTGGAGACATCCCAATTGAGTTGGTAAAGTATGGACCAAAAATATTATATGAGATGTTTGTTCAACTATTATGGACCAAAACTAATTATAGGGGAATAACTGTTATCATCTCAGTGGGGAATCATTCTACCCACCTATTGTTTGTAGATTTAGAGAAGGCATACGATACGGTACCTTCGAAAAAATTGTTTCAAACATTGACGACAGTAGGTCTCAGCAGAGAGTATGTGGATGCTATCGCAAATATATACAAAAATGCAAGAAGTGTTACTAAAGAAGGAAACTTTATATCTGAATCATTTTCAAAAACAAAGGGAATTAAACAAGGATATTATCTATCTCAGACCTGATTTAAAATATATACTCAATCATCGCTAGCGCAGTGGAGGAAACAAGTATCCAGAATGGGAATAGACATAGACGGTGATAAATGTCTAACAACTTTATTTGTCGCAGATGATCAGGTAGTCGTAGTGAATGATGAGGAAAATAAGGACTACATGTTTAGAAAACGATAGACGAGTGACGAAAAAAGATAGAAAAATAATAGAAATGGATTTTCTAAGGAGAGCGTCTGGTGTATCCAAAAAAGATCATATCAGAAATGATGATATTAAAAGGAGGACAAATACTGTGTATTACAGTGTAGACAGAATTGAAAGAAGACAAGCGAATGAATGAAGATAGATGGCCAAAGAAAGCTTTAAATTACATATCACAACAAAGAAGAAGGGGAAGGCCTTCAGTTGCCTGGGAAGAAAGAAAATATACGGCACATAATGAGAGATATAGCCATCAAAGAAGACGAATGGATGGACAGATATATATATATATATTATATATTATATATATATATATATATATATATATATATATATATATATATATATATATATATATATATATATATTATATATATATATATTAACGAAATCAAATGTATATGTATAAAGATTATAATGCTTCACTTACCATTCCATATGTTAATCTGAACTGGCTAACTAACGAACTAGGTTTACCCAGCATCATCTTCTTAAGATTTTCTTCTAGAGGAACGCTTTGTTTGCACAGAATAATAACAGTTCCTTCAGCATCTAAACCACGTCTTCCAGCACGTCCAGCCATCTGAGTGTATTCGGCTGCTTCAAGGTCACGTAATTCTTTGCCGTCATGTTTACGAACTGAATCAAAAACCACTGTTCTTGCTGGCATATTCACACCCATGGCAAAAGTTTCCGTTGCAAAAAGTAGCTAAAATGATAAAACAAAAAAATAAACTGTTACCACATAAAAACGAAGAATATTTGACGTACGATACCGTATTGATACCCTGTTAGGTTACCCCGTGTAAGAATTGTTGCTAATATAGTGTTTTTATTGAATTTTAGATTCCAAAATGCCCCATGCTTACGTTCGGAAAACTAAAAGATCAAATGGACAGAAGATGAACTAAAAGCTGCGATCACTGTTATACGATCTGGGCGAAAAATACGAGAAGTAGGTCGATCATTCAATATTCCAGAATCCCCTCTACGTGACAAACTAAAGTCCAATAGCCATAAAAAAAAAACTTAACAGGAAACCAATTTTTAATAATGAACAGGAATCCACCATAGCCAACCATGTTAAAAAGTTGGCGAATATGTTTTTTGGAGTCACACCATCAGAACTAAGGCGTTTAGCATACCACTTTGCTGAAGAGAATAAAATAAAACACCGTTTCGACTCGATAAAGAAGATTTCTGGTGAATATTGGTTAGAACTCTTTTTAAAGCGTCATCCAGACATTAGTCTTAGAAAACCCGAAGGTACCAGTCAAAACCGCATTTCTGCATTCAATAAAGATGAGGTTAAACAATTTTTTAACAATCTGCTCAATCTGCAAATAAATGAAGAGTTATTTTTTGACTGGATAAAACATTGTCAGCATATAAAGGCCTCGAAAGAAGATCCAGTGCTTCTCATATTGGATAACCATGGGAGTCACACTTCTTTGGAGATTTATACTTACTGCAGTTCACACGGAGTTGTTATGGTTTCACTTTGTAATGGACTTAGAAATCGACGTTACCAATGATGACAGGGTCCCTGACCAGTCGAGATGTAACGAAACTCTGCAGAGAACTTCACCGAGAAATACCAAACCCCAACCGGGACCATCGAGATGTGATGAAACTATGCCCAAGACTCCATCTTATAATGCCAAATTGAAATCAAACCAACAAGCTGCACCCCAGCCTGGAACGTCAGGAAATATTAAAACTCTGTCTACTATACCCATTGAAGCTAGCTCCTCTTCCTTCCAAATTTATAAAGAAAAGTTCCAAATCACGTGCAAAACAACACTCAGAAATTTTCACTCCTACGCCACTAAAAACGCAATTAGAAATAAAACAAGAAAAGAGAAATATTAGGAAAAAGCTGAAGAGGCCCAAAACAATGAAACCAAGAAAAAAACGACAGGAAACGTAGGAAAACTGGCTACTAAAGCAAAAAAACGACCTGTACGCAAGAATGCTGGAGTTAAAAACTTACATTTTGATGATTCTGAGTCTGAAAGTTATGATGAGAGTAAGCTTTGTGATGATGATGAATTAGGTGATGTAGATCTAACATTAGAAAATGAAGTGTTTGGTGTGCGGTGAATTCGGACGAGACAAAGAAATTTGGTACCGTTGTGTAATGTGTTCAAATTGGGCTCATTCAGAATGTAGTGATTGGGAATGAGCAGTTAATTATACATGCGATATGTGTGCCAAGGTCGAACGAGATAGTCAGAAAGTAAAACTATCTCTTTAATGTTTTTTTTTTAATTTCGTCTTTAAGAAATCTGTTTTGTTTACAATATTTGCTTTATTACAATTTTTTTTTTCGAATAAAGATTTTATTTAATTCTGTGCAGAATTATCCCGTACATGGGGAGTACCGCGCAATGACAGTTTTTTAAAGTAAATTTTTTTCTTCAAAATTCATTAAACTTTAATCCTATTAATTAAGGCTACAACTTCATTAGGTTCGCAATAACACCTTCTGCAATTCTTATGGCATATAATTTATCTGTTAGTATGTCTAAATTAACTACATCATAAGCTCCCTTAATGTATAAGAATAAGCAAGAGACTGAGTTGTTTCGGGTAAATGCTAATTGTACATCAGTAACAAATTATGCTGTAACTTCTTGAGTCGAGCGTCCTCTTCTGAATGCATACTGGACTATAAGTCTGGGCAATCTTTAGATTTATTAGGTTTAGGAATAGGTATTATTAAATATATTTTCCAGTCGTCTGGTACGTTCGACGATTTGTTTGTATATATGTATATTGTCCTAAATATCTAATAAGTGCTGCTCCGTTAAAACCGCGATCTAGACAATCATTGGTTATTATGGGTATTATCTAATCCAGGACTCCTATTATTTCTGTTTTTACAAGCTTGTTGTAATTCTTTCATTGTAAAGGGTTTATTTAGCACGTTGTCATTTGTATAATAATATTTGGAATTCTCTTGGTTTTTCGTTAGACCAATTCAGACAAATTTTACTATGGAAACATTCTGTCCAGTCTTCCCACTCCATTTGATGTATATTTGCTTGTTTTCTATTTTTGTACATATTTAATTCAGCCCAAACTTCTTTCATTGGAGTATTTTTGTTCAAATTTTGACAATATGATTTCCAACTAGCTCTTTTTACTTCATTTGTAATTCTATTAAAGATCGCATCTTGATTTTGATATTTATGAAGATAATCCAAATTTGGATTTCTTTATACTTGCTAAATAACTGTTTGCGTTTCGTTACCACATTTTCGCAGTCATTATTCCACCATGGTTTGCATTTTTCCCAAGTAAATTATTTATTTGCGTGCGTTTTTGGCATAGCTGCGGTAGCTGCTTCGTTTATATCTTCTAATAATTTGTCGTAATTATCGTCGATAATATTCAATGATTTTTCAAGGAAATTGCCCAAAATCCGTCCTGTTTGCCTTGTTAATTTTCCATATTTTATGACTCTTTGCTGGTAGGAGCGTTCCTTTATACTGACATCTCATAAATATTGGCAAATATTTGGACCATGGGGATCTTAAAGTACCTCCCACTAAAAAATTTGACTGATATTTTAAGAGCATATCGTAATATCAATAGCACCTCTTCTTTGACCTGGTCTAGTAACAAGGGTTGGATACCCTGTGTTTAAAAATACAAATATTCCCTCTAACAGGTTTAGTTTTAAGTACTAAAGAACAAAATAAAATTGGTCCCAAGAATGTGCCCTTAAATTTCAAAATCAATGTTTTGGCATCAAAAAAGTGGATATTTTCTGTTAAATTCGATTCCGGAACACATAAATAGTTTTATACAACGTGATGTTTGCCGAACTAGTTTTGATTTAAAAAATAAGAAAATTTCGTTACCTTAATGTATCCCTCCTGAAATAACATTTCAACGATTTCTTTGATGATTGGTAAAATACCGCTATGATGAACACCAATTCCTCTTGTTAGAATATCTCTCATCTTCATAATTTGAGGAATATTTTGATCGGGTTCTTTCAAACATCTGAAAACATACATTAAATAATATATATATATATATATATATATATATATATATATATATATATATATATATATATATATATATACAAGGTATTTCATAAACTCCGTGCTGTTTATTTGGAATATTGTCTTTGATTGATCGGACAAGAGAAGAAAGTTTTTGTTGGGGAGTAAATATTGTTTTTATTCCTCTTGGTTTTATTCCTCGTTAATACTTCTGACTACAAACCAATTTCTAATAATCCAACAACCTATCTGGAGAAAACAACAAAAGCCATTATCAATAAAACCTCCCTTCCTGTTGACATCAAAAAAACTCTAATTCCTCGTGAAAAGTCTTCAAGAACACCTCGAATATATGGCCTAACCAAAATTCATAAACCCGATATTCCTCTACGTCCCATTGTTAGTGCATACAACTGCCTTACACAACCCTTGGCCAAGTATTTGGCCAAAACTCAACAACCTTTTGCCGAAAATGCTTCATCCTTCGTCAAAAACTCTTTTCATTTCATCGAACTTCTTAAACAATACCATATATCACCGTCAGACATTCTAGTAGAGTAGAGTAGAGTATTTATTTAACTACATAACATATACAAATATTGTTTGTAGCAAGTCAAAAAAAAAACATACATAGTATTAAATAATAAAACATTAAATAATACAAACATGAAAACATATTAAACAGATAAATAATACAAACATGAAAACATATTAAACAGAAAAATATTTATGGCAAAGTTACGGTAAGCAGTTCAGTGGATGTTCTGCAATGAGTCATATATTCTTCTGAGCAGTAAAAACAATGTTTTAAAAGATATTTTTTTATAACTTTATCGAAACTATTACAGCTTAGCTCTTTTATACTTTTTGGTAAAATATTGTAATAGTTATAATTAAGACTATTTTTTTCTGAAAGACTTTATCTACAGCGATTTGTTCGTAGGTAGTGACAGTTTCGCGTATTGTGAACATGGACATCAGACTGCTTTATTAAATGGGCACGTTTTCTGTGAATTTGAGTTAAAACTTAAAATATCGACAGAGTAGGTAGCGGCATAATTTTGAATTTGATAAAGAAAGGTCGGCAGTGTTCTAGATAACTAACCCCTGCTAAAATCCTGACAGCTTTCTTTTGTATTCTAAAAATTTGAAGTGCATTTGTTGAATTGCCCCATATAATTAAACCATAGTTTACAACCCTTGCTAGTTGGCGAATAACAAATAATGAACTTGATAGCTGTTTCTTAAGGTGTGAGATATGAGCAGACCAGTTGAGTCGATTATCTATGGTTATTCCCAATAATTTAACAGTCTCTTTGTTAACTAGATCATTGTGTAAATTACTTGCAGATATAACCATATTTTGCGTTTTATCAGAGTTAAGTTTTAGTTTGTTTGCAGCAAACCATGAGCTAGATTTAGTAGAAACTTCCTCATGAGACATTTTTAAATCATCATTATTTTTTCCTGAAATTGAACAAAATAATAAAATAAACTTTCTGGATATCACCTTCACGATATCTTAACTACAATTCCCATCATCCATTTTTCCATAAGAAGTCTGTAATTATGTCTCGCTAATAAATCTATAAAACTAACAGATCCAGAATACAGACCAACTGAAATAAAAAAAAAAGCAAAAAATGCCCTTCTAAAGAATGCATATCCCGAACATCTAATCGAAACTATTTTCAAATCAAGACATAATAAATTTTATAACAATACAACTAACAACAAATCCAACAGTATCAAAACCACTTATACAACTCTTCCATATATAAAAGGTTTATCCGAACAACTAACAAATCTTTTAGCCAAACATAATATAACAGTGGCCCACAAAAGCAACAACCTCTTAAATAAATATTTCACAAAACTAAAAACACAAACTCCAAAACTTAAAAAATCACATGTTGTTTACGAGATACCATGTACTAACTGTGAAGGTGTCTATATCGGTCAAACCAGTCAACTGCTTCAATCCAGAATTCGTTCTCACAAATACGACAAGAACAACGTCACTGCGCTCATAAAACATGAAAGCGGGAAGAAGCATAAATTTGATTTTGAAAACATCAAAATTTTAAAAACAGAAAAAAACAAAAAGAAGTGGGAGATATACGAATCAATAGAAATAAAAAGAAACACCAACGCAATAAATGACAAAAAAGATACACAAAACCTAAATAAAATATATTTCAATCTGGTTTAATACTAACTATTTTTAACTACATTAAAACGTAACAATTGATATATTACAACATTTTTTAACACAATGGATACTTTATCAAGTGTTTAAAATGTGCTCCATTTGTGAGTTAACAGTATCCTAATCGATGGTAGACTCCGTCCACCACATTTTTCCATGATTGTTTAGAATTTATTCGAGATTCATCGATTTTTCGTTACTTAGTTCTGCAAGACTTGCTGGTTTAGTTTTGTAAACTGAATTTTTCAAGTATCTCCAATAAAAATATTCTTTAGAATTGAAATCAGGTGAACGTGGAGACCATTTAATTCTACCTCGTCTACCGATCCATCGTCCTGGAAATATCTCATCTAAATAACCACGAGCATTTACCCCAAAATGAGCTGGAGCTCCATTTTGCCCATATCTGAATAAAATTGGCCCCAAACAAGTTTATTTAAAAAGTATTATTATTATTTATTTACTTTTAGTACAATTTCATTTCTAAGTAACATTTCGTAATTAAGTATCTAATGTTAAATTTCCTTCGATAAAAAATGGCCCAATTAACCGATACCTACTATACCTACTATACATTTAATTTTTGTGGTCTTTGAGTTTGGTATTCACGCATCCAGTGTGGATTTACGTCACTTTAGTACCTTAAATTGTGTTGATTTACACTTCCACACAGTGTAAAGGTTGCTTCATCGGAAAAACTTTTCTGTTAACGAAATTTTTATCCTTTTCTATTTTATCCATCATTAACTCAGTAAACTCTAATTTACGATCGAAGTCATCTTCACTTATTTCTTGCAATAAGTTAATTTTGTATCGTTTATAAATATTCTTATGTAATACACGTAAGACTGAAGAACTACCTACATAATGTACTTGTGCAACCCTGCGTGAGGATGTATGTGGATCTTCAACAAAACTTTGCACCATATCTAGTCTTGTTGTTATTCATAACTCTTTTCGGTCTTACTGATCGGTATCTATCTAGTAAATTCATAATTCGTAAATTGTAAATGGCTTTTCATAATTTTACAAGTTTTGGTGTAAATGTTCGGCGTTATTTAGAAGAGGTATTTCCCGGACGACGGATTGGCAGACGAGGTAGAATTGAATGGCCTCCACGTTCACCTGATTTCAATCCTAAAGATTATTTTTATAGGGCATACTTGAAAAATTTAGTTTACAAAACTAAACCAGCAAGTCTTGCAGAACTAAGGCAACGAAATATCGATGAATCTCGAATCATTTCTAGACAATCATGGAAAAATGTGGTAGACGCATTTTGCCATCGATTAGGGTACTGTCAACTCACATGGAGCACATTTTGAACACTTGATAAAGTAACCATTATGTTAAAAAATGTTGTAATATATCAATTGTTACATTTTATTGTAGTTAAAAATAGTTAGTATTAAAAAAATTATTGACACAATTAGGCGTTGTCAGACTTTATGTTTTATGTATTTAAGATCTTCCAAACTACATAAAATCATAATTGTTATTAATCATAAAATCATAGTTGTTATGTTGAACTCGTATTAAATAGGAGATTCCAAAAATGACTGAATATACAGGGTGATGAATTTGAAAAACCAAAGTTACTAATAATATAAGAGAAACGGCAAATCTGGCAACATTGCAAATATTAAATATGGAATCTCCGTATCCCAAAATAGGTATACCTTAAATTTTGTACAATTATAACTAGCAATTTACGAGATAATTGGCCGTTTCCAGACTTTTGGGCCACTCTGTTATATATATAATATATATATATATATATATATATATATATATATATATATATATATATATATATATATATATACAGGGTGGGCCGCCGGTAACGCCTCGGTCTGTACAGCCGAAACAAATTTTATTTTCAAAAATTCATTTTCATTACGAGACCTATATCCAAAAAAGCTACTTTTTAAAAATAATTTCAATTATACAGGGTGCTCCAGGAAAGTGCTACACACCAAAGTTATGTTTTTTTAAATGGGACACCCTGTATTTTATTGCATTTTTGAATTTTAAGAACAAAATAAGTGTCACTTTGTTAAAGGTTTGTTATACCTAGAGTCTACCGTTTTTGATATATCCAAGTATTTTTAAAAATAAGGGATGTTTAAAACATGCCAATAACTCCTAAATTTCCTAATATTTAAAATTCATTTTTTTATGGAAGATTAAGAATTAATTGTACTCTAAAATCAAATACTTACTATTTAAAAATATTTTACAGAGTGTTTGCGAATTAGATATTTATTAGTGTCACCTTTAAACATTAAAAACTGCTCTATTTTAAATGTAACACCCAGTATATTTTTTAATTTTATGAAAGATATTTCAAATACCTTTCAAAAAATATAAATATTCCCTATACCCATATTCGACAGTTTTGGATATAAAACCAAAGTTCTGTGATAGCTATACTTTATAACAAATAAGTAAATTTCTTTAACCAAGATAGCTATGAACTGTCAGTTTACAAACTGACATTTATACATTTATATATTAACAAACTATTTTATATGACATACATAGTTTTAGACATTTAGAATTGTATACAAAACGTTCTCCTCATAACAAATAATTAGTCAACTAACTGTCAGTTTACACACTAGTGTGCTATTTTATATTACATATTTTTATTGAGTTTATTTTGATATAAAAAAAATGAAGCAATATTCCATTCAAGAACGGGTGGATATGATTCTCACCATAGGTGAATGTAACGAAAACTGTTTTTAGCGGCAAGTGTTTATGCCCAGAAGTACCCAAATAGG